TTCCTTCAGGAATGGCCCTGTATTTGGCTCCATCCACCTTCCGCTCAATTTTAACCATCTTCCCTGTCCCTGCTGAAGAAAAGCAGGCCCAAACCATGATGCTGCCACCACCATGTTTGACAGTGGGGATGGTGTGTTCAGGGTGATGAGCTGTGTTGCTTTTACGCCAAACATAACGTTTTGCATTGTTGCCAAAAAGTTCGATTTTGGTTTCATCTGACCAGAGCACCTTCTTCCACATGTTTGGTGTGTCTCCCAGGTGGCTTGTGGCAAACTTTAAACGACACTTTTTATGGATATCTTTAAGAAATGGCTTTCTTCTTGCCACTCTTCCATAAAGGCCAGATTTGTGCAGTATACGACTGATTGTTGTCCTATGGACAGAGTCTCCCACCTCAGCTGTAGATCTCTGCATTTCATCCAGAGTGATCATGGGCCTCTTGGCTGCATCTCTGATCAGTGTTCTCCTTGTATGAGCTGAAAGTTTAGAGGGACGGTCAGGTCTTGGTAGATTTGCAGTGGTCTGATACTCCTTCCATTTCAATCTTATCGCTTGCACAGTGCTCCTTGGGATGTTTAAAGTTTGGGAAATCTTTTTGTATCCAAATCCGGCTTTAAACTTCTGCACAACAGTATCTCGGACCTGCCTGGTGTGTTCTTTGTTCTTCATGATGCTCTCTGCGCTTTAAACGGAGCTCTGAGACTATCACAGTGCAGGTGCATTTATATGGAGACTTGATTACACACAGGTGGATTCTATTTATCATCATTAGTCATTTAGGTCAACATTGGATCATTCAGAGATCCTCACTGAACTTCTGGAGTGAGTTTGCTGCACTGAAAGTAAAGGGGCTGAATAATTTTGCACGCCCAATTTTTCAGTTTTTTATTTGTTAAAAAAGTTTGAAATATCCAATAAATTTCGTTCCACTTCATGATTGTGTCCCACTTGTTGTTGATTCTTCACAAAAAATTACAGTTTTATATCTTTATGTTTGAAGCGTGAAATGTGGCAAAAGTTTGCAAAGTTCAAGGGGGCCGAATACTTTCGCAAGGCACTGTATGTTTAATCTAATGGTCAACAGATTTTACATACAAATACTACATACTGTACTACATACTAATGGTAATACTCAAGTAAAGACTAAGGGTAGTAACTATAGCTGGCAGATAAATCAAATGGAGAACAATACAGTATTTGCCTTTGAAATATAGTGGTGCAGAGATATAAACAAGCATACAAGTACAAGCAGCTTACATAGCCACTGAAGTGCAGTACTTGAGTAATGTAGTTAGTTTTACTTTGCCCAACAGCAAACGCTTCCCATGAGGCCCCATAACAGGTTAATCCTGTCATGTCTGTTTGAGCTGTATTAAGTGTAATGGCATCCCACAGGCCCACTTTATACTTGTTCAAGTGAATACACTGTCATTTGTTAAATATTTGTAGCCCTCTATGAATAATATTTGTTTGATATGATTTATACTTTATACTATACTGACATTAGGAAGTTATGTGAGAAGGAAAAACAGCAGGTTTTCCAGAAAAGTAAACAAACGCCAGATATGATAAGCAGACTCCATCTGTTTACACTACATCTGCTTGTTTACCTGGCACCTGTAAGTCTGTCAGGGCTGGAGTAGGCTGGTTGAGCAGCACCTGTTTGATTGGAGTCTGAGGGCCCACCATGGATGTTACCCCTGGGCCCTGCTTCCCTCTGCTACCAGGAGATTCAGGCTGTCTGTTCCAGGGATCTACCAGTGGTTTAGTGTCAACCAAATTCTCACTGCATTGCTCTGACTCGGGAGACTGTGGAGTCAGGGCAGTGACTGGCTCCAATGGGAGTTCAAGCTAGAAAGAAAAGGATTAACTTACATCAGATGCACTATTTCCAGCAACAGGAAGCAACACTGACTAAATTCTAGGTGCAAGGTAAATATGGGCGTGTTCAACAGTGTTTTGCAATTTTGGTGACCACAGTGCACTTGTGTGTGCAGCCAGGGGTCACCAGGTGCACTGTGGAGGGGAGGTGGAAGACGTCATGAGCAGGTGGAGTCGGTGCTGGCTTTAGTCATATGCAGTCAAACCAGCTCGCTTTAAAAAGCAGGGTGGAAACCTGACTGACTGATGTCACTGATGTCAGGACATGGAAATATATGAGAAGACAGATTCTTTGCCTGTATTGTCTTCTCCTGCCAGTTATGTTCTCCATTCCTAAATTGACAGTGACAAAACTGTGACATATCAGTATTTTTCTTAGAAATCCAGTGTTGGTATGCGTCTTATCAGTATGCTACTTGTTACAAGTGGAGAAGTGAAACAACACCTTGCAAGTAAAGATAAAGAAATAAATCCAAATCATAAACTTGTACTTTTGACAGCAAAGGGGAAACTGATGAGGTTGAGGAGAACCTGTCATATTAATCTATCTACCATCTTTCCATAAGAGATCGAATCAGCCTTACTTGTATGTCCTCCTCCTCTGGCAACTCTTTGTTATGGCTTTTGTCTGGAGCCTCTGGGTAGATTTCCACAGAAGGAAAGACAAAACTGGGTAGAAAGGACATTGTGTCATCCTGCTCACATAACTGACCGAGTATGTTGCTTTCCAGATCTGTATCAAAATAAACAAAGAGAAAACATAATTGTACAAAGCTTGTGTTAGAGGTTGTTACATTTGGCACTGTTCATCTTAGGCATGTGTGCTTGCTTACTGGGAAGTGCCCTGTAGTCGTCTATAAGGTAGACATGCTCTTCATCAGGATCAGAGGCAATAACATCCATTTCAGCCTGGAACTCTTCATACAAAGGGTTGGTCTTGTTCATGACTCCTATAACAAACATCTCAATTCCCTCTGCATGTGCCTCTGTGGCTGTTTCTTCAAGCTGCACAACGTCACGGGGGTCAGCCTGCCCATCCGTTAAAACCACAGCCATTTTCCTCACGCCCGGTCGTGAGGCCCGGAACAGCTGATTGGCTCGATGGATGGCCCTGCCCGTGAAGGTGCCCTCACCCAGGTAGGGCATCTTCCTGATAGTGGCCTTGATGTCATCCTGGCTGGGCTGCTGCTGAAGGCTGACCACCACCATGTCCACATGGCTGTAGAGCACCACGCCAATCTGGCTGGCTTCTTGGCTTACCGACATCCGGTCGATAAGAGCATTCACAAAGTCCTTCACCAGCTCAAAGTTTTCTGGTCCCACGCTTTCAGAGCTGTCTATCACAAACACCAGTTCCAGAGGGCTCTCTCTGCAATGCAGACCACAGCCTGGCCACAAATGTAACAGATTCAATTGTGAAAAAAGTGGATGGATACAAAAAGACAGAACATACACAGATTTGCACTAAGTACTACTGTATCTCTGTGCAGCTTATAATCTTAACTAATAAGACTAAATACACTGCAATAGTCTTGCAATAAATACTGAATCACTTCTTAAGCTGCTTTTGTCTTGACTCAGTGCTATAGAATCGTTCAAATATGTTTTTTTAAATTTTGTGGGGTTGCATTATATCATAAGGGGTTTCTATATTTTGCCTACTAAATATGCATTTATTAGGAACATAAAATCCCAACTAAGCAACAAAAAAAGAAGAAATGGCCACTGAAAATGTGACAAAAAGTATGCCATTTACCACAGATTTCCCTTATTATTGTGATGACCTCTTCTCTCTGTGTACAGGAAATGGAAGAAGAGGTCTTACATTTTCATGCTGAAATATGCAGTTCAGTGTCATTTGTGTCAGTCACTTCACTCACTGTCAGTCCAGGTTCCCCCTTTTCTCCCAGCCTGCCCTGTAAGATAAAGCACAATGATAACATAGTTTTCAGCAAATCAGTAACAGCGCACGATGCTCTGATCCATTTGCTACTCTGAAAAACTGATCATGTCATTAAAAAAAAAAAAAAAAAACATGTTAATGCACTGTTTCTGTAGAGAATTGTAAAGCTGGAGAAGTTACTATGTCTACATTATGCCAGTTAAAATATGGGGTTTCTAAGTTACCTGCTTTGTTTAGAGTGTTACACATTTCTTGTCATCGGGACAGATACTGTTGATTAACTATCTGTGGAGGAGGCATTCAAATTAATTAATGCTGTTGTGGTTTGTCGTGCTGTTCACTCATATTTTGGCTGGAACATGTCAGGTAGGACAGTGGTCCCCAACCCCCGGGCCGCGGACCGGTACCGGTCCGTGGATCACTTGGTACCGGGCCGCACAATAAATCATTAATTATTTCCGTTTTATTTATTATCTGAGTCTGAACGATCTTTTATTTTGAAAAATGACCGCATTCTCTCGGTTACATCTCGGTCACTTGAGCGCCAAAACTGGCTTACTTGTGGACATATTCAGCCTGCTCAATGAACTCAATCTGTCACTTCAGGGGAAAATGACAACTGTCTTCAAGTTGGCAGATAAAGTAGCTGCATTTAAAGCCAAACTGGATTTGTGGGGACGACGC